CCTCTCTGCTCGACTACTCTCTGCTTGTATACTCGGTCTCTGTGAGACTGGTGAAGAAAGGAGGCACTAAGAGAAAGATTCCCATAGAGAAGAAAACGCCTCGAGGACCTTGTTGCTCCAAACGTTATTAGGGACTCTTCGGTAAAACCTTGCAGCTTTGCCTTCTCTCCGGCGCTCAAATCGTCGTCTTAGCTACTCCTATGTCTGACAATTCCCACGTCTCTTTCTACTCCTTCGGCCACTCCTCTGTTGATGCCNTCGTTTCNGCTTTTCTCTCTNGAAAACGTNCTCTTTTCTCGNCNGAAAACAACAAACCCATGAGGGAAGACATCGGTATCTGTTTGATGCAAAAGAATCTAGGGTTAGGGTTTTGGTGGGAAGACGAGGCCTTTACCAAATCGCAAAATTCCAAAGAACTGAGCGACGCGGTCGATTCCATGAAGAAGCTGTTGAAAGATGCCAAGGAACTGCGTTCGCTCGATCAAACCCTAACCACTTGATATGTGTAGCAGGAAGCGAATGGAGTGAATGACATAGAGACCGTAACAAAGACAAATTTTAACAGAACTGAAGTAACTGGATAAGAGGAAGATACGGGATCACCACAACTCGTAAAGCCGAAGCATCGGAGCTGATAAAGAAACCCGCTGACCTAGCACCACTCCTGGATAAAGTTGCCACCACCAGAAGATAAAGACGCTCGAAACCACCACCAAGTACTCTCCCAAAATCAAAGGATAAAGGTAAAATATCTAAACAGATCAAAATGGATCACAAAGACACTCCAAATTCTCAAACTCGTTTTCTGATTTTTATTCATGAATAAGAGCCTCATTATATAGAGGAAATACTATAAAAACGTTCATAAATGGTTCTCTACATTCAGAGCACCTAGAAGAATTAAATTTAAACTCTAATCTGCATGAAAGAGAGAGAAACAACTTGTTTTTAATGCAGTCTTGACCAGATACGAAATGGGCTCTTCTCTTGCTTATTTGGGCCTGAAAATACTTCATTAAACTTATCTTCATCAAATCCAGCCCAAAAGAATGCTTTCCACGTTTTACTTAATAGGTAGGACCAAAATCAACAAATTGATAGCAAGCCCGTTCTTCATCTCTACGCCTTGTGTTGCTTCCTTGTCTTGCATGTCTGCTCTCGCATCATT